AAAAAAAAAAAAAAAGAAAAGAAAAGAAAGAAAGAAAAGCAAAACAGTGTGAGAAGAGAAATCTCTGAGAGAACTCACTCTTTCTGAACAGAGGAACTGGGAAAAGGGACCCGGGGAAACTGGAAAGTATGGAAGAAATACCAGAGAGAAGAGAGTCTGGGAAACTGTCTATGAGCTGATAAAAGTCCCAGGGCTCATCCCCAGAATATGTGTGGAATACACCCAAGGAATCATGGCAAAGGATGAGAAAACTGAATTACCACACAAACCAGGAACTAGTACAAAAGAAACCTAAGGAATGTATTTGCTAGACTGACTGAAACAGCATATCAAAGGCAATGAACACTGATTTGACATTGGATACTACCTGTAGAAGGTGAGGCAGAATTTGGTCTGAACCTAATGAGGTTGATTGCCTGCTAAAAAAACAATTCCAGAAGATTTTAACAGGACCCAGGGTCTTACAATACAATATTCAAAACATCCAGAGGACCCTATAAAAGTACTCAACATAATAAAAACATTATCATTTCACTAATGAATAAAAATCACTTGACAGAATTAAACATCTACTCAGAAAATAAGGAATAAAAAGGAACTTCCTCAAATAAGTTGGAAACATTTCTTGGCTGGACTATGCCTACTCATGTTTGCATTAGGAGACATAATTTTTTTCCTCTGTTGTCAGCAGTTACTATCATAAAATAAAAAACAAAAGATTCGTTTGTTCATTCAAATATGAATAAAAGAAACAAAAACAGAAAGGGAACTTCCTCAACCTGATAAGGTACTATGATCATTAGAAAATTCAATATTAATAAGAATATCAATTCTTCTCAAACTTTTCATAGATTGAAAGCAATGGGACTCAAAATCCCAGAAGGATTTTGTTGTTGTTTACAGATAATGGCAAGCTGATTGTAAAATTTATATGGAAAAGCAAAGAACCTTATTTTTAGGTAGAGTGTTCTTAGATATAACTACAAAAGCATGATCCATAAGTTGTACTTCATAAAATGAAGAAATTCTGCTTTCTGAAAGATACGTTAGGAGAATGAAAAGCCACAAACTGGGAGAAAATATTTGCAAGTTAAATATCTCATAAAGTACTTGTATCCAGAAATGCAAAGAACCCTCAAGACTTGATAATAATAAAACAAACAAATCAATTTTATTTTATTATTTTTTTATTTTTATTTAAAAAAAATTTTTTTTTCAACGTTTATTTATTTTTGGGACAGAGAGAGACAGAGCATGAACGGGGGAGGGGCAGAGAGAGAGGGAGACACAGAATCGGAAACAGGCTCCAGGCTCTGAGCCATCAGCCCAGAGCCTGACGCGGGGCTCGAACTCACGGACCGCGAGATTGTGACCTGGCTGAAGTCGGACGCTTAACCGACTGCGCCACCCAGGCGCCCCCAAACAAATCAATTTTAAATGACAAAATATGAACACTTGGTTCACCAAAGATACAAGGAGAGTCAACAGGCATATGAAAAGAACCTCAAAATTATTAGTCATCAGGGAAATGCAAATTAAAACCACAATGCATGGGTGCCTGGGTGGCTCGGTCGGTTAAGTATCTGACATTGGCTCAGATCATGATCTCACGGTTCATGAGTTCGAGCCCCGCATCAGGCTCTGTGCTGACACCTCAGAGCCTGGAGCCTGCTTCAGATTCTGTGTCTCCCTCTCTCTCTGCCCCACTCCCACTTGTGCTCTCTCAAGAAAAATGAATAAACGTTAAAAGAAAAATCTGTTTTAAACCACAATGCTATGCCCTCCCCACACTTATTACAATTGCTAAAAAGACAAAAAGCAAAAGAACAACAACCTGAAAATATCAAAAGTTAATATTGGGGAACAGCTGTAACTTTTACACATTGCCAATGGGATCTGAAATGGTATAGCCACATTGGAAACCAGTGTAGCAGTTTCTTCTAGGTTAAACGTGCATTTACCACATGACCCAGCAATCCTACTCCTAGATATTTACCCAAGTGAAGTGAGTGAAAACATATTTTCAGGGGCTCCTGGGTGGCTCAGTTGGTTAAGTGTCCAACTCTTGGTTTCTGCTCAGGTTATGATCTCACAGTCATGGAATCGAGCCCCAAGTGAGGCTCCACACTCAGTGCTTGGGATTCTCTCTCTCTGTCCCTACCTCTCCCTCTGCCCCTCTCCCGCACTCATTTTCTCTCAAAATAAAGAAACAAACATTAAAAAAACCCCACATATTTTCACACCAAAACCTGCAGGTGAATCTTTAGAGCTATTATTCATAATAGCCCCCGACTGGAAATAATCCAAATGTTCTTCAGTGGATGAATGGATAAATAAAAGTGGTACATCCGTATAACGGCACAGTACTTAACAGTAAAAAAGGAAACCAACTACTGATACATTCTGGAGATGGAAAATCTGTAGGGACAGAAAACAGATCCAGTGATTGCCAGTAACTGGGGTTGGGCACAATGGCTGACTACACAGAGGCACAAAGGAACTGTGAGTGGTGATGGGACTGCTCTACATCTTGATCGTGGCAGTGCTTACAGCACTGTATGGATTTCTCAAAGCTCACAGAACTGACACTACAGTGGGCCAATTCAGTGTAAATCAATTATCCTTAAAAGAAAGAAATGTCTGTGGGGGCTCACCTTGGGCCCAGGTGAGTGCCCCTAGGTAGTTCTACCTAATAGCATCACTATCAATAGGCTGAGAAGGGCACAAAACAGCTGGACAACTGGCTAAAATGTCACTCTTAGAGTCATGTGGAAGCATGGAGACTTATGTGAGGCTAGGACCTTGGGAGGAGCTAAGGGTCTCCAGAACCCGTAAGCCAACTTACCAGTGATGAGTTTGCTGGCAAGGCTCTCTGCCAGCTGGCTTCCTTGGGCCAGCTGCTCACAGAATCTCTGTCCCTGGTAGTAGGGAATGTCAGCACTCCTGAGGAGGCCCTCAAAAGACTTGACTATGCTCTTCGTATGCTGAATGAAAAGATAACAGACACCTTTCCCTTCTCGTATCTTCTGTCGTAAGTGGGTCAGCTCTCGGGCATGAGCCTGAATTAGGGTATCATGTTTCCTAAGGTAGGAAAGAAAAGTAAAATATAACAGTGCATGTAGTGAACGATAGGTTGTGGGAGTTTCAACAGAGACATCTCTTAGAATGCCCCTAAGGAATTCCCCAACTTGAATTCTTATACAAGTCATGTGACTTGGCCTGCCTGTGGCAGAGGGAACGAGGAAACAGCATTGGGTTTGTTTGTTGTTTTATTAGCTTTGCTTTGAAAAGATGGCCCTTTAGTTCCTCAATTCAGCCCACATCCATTTCCATGGAATATATACTACCTAGCATTATACAGAAAGTTGCACGCACACACGCACAAACCAGATATGGAAGTGTTGGATGGGTATGTGTGGTGTTAATTCAAAGGATGAAAAGGAAAATCAATGTAAAGGTCAAGAAGGATAACATTCTTTTGAGTGACGTGAAAAGGAGTAATAATCAGTAAGGAGGCACTTAAGAGTAAATAAAGTTCTGAGTAACAATTACATCACTCTAAGTGGGTTTTCACCATTTTCTAATTATTATACAAATATTATGCACACATTCCAATCTAAAAGTGTGAGCTCTGCGAGGCTAGAGACAGTGCCATGTAGTACCCAACTTACAGTACCCAACAGAGTGTACACACACAAGTAGGCATTCGGTTAATACTTAGAACCACATAATCCTAAAGCTGGACTAGATATTTAGGTCTACCTCATCTGATGCCTGAATCTCCTCCCTGCTGTCTACTAAATTATATTCTACAGATTGTCTTTCAAATTCTATTCCATAGAGCTCTTAAAAAGTGTCAGAGTTGGTGAAGGCATAGACTAGGGAGCAACAGAGGCTCCAGACCTATGCCTTCTTCAATCAAGTATCTCTGCTTTAGGAAGTTTTATACATTTGAGCTTCTCAGATTCCCTTTCAACAAAGGGTTAAAAGACATCTGGAATCCCACAATCTCCCCTATATTTGAAACAATCTGAGGATGGACAAGGCTAGTCCTCAGCACATTAATAATCCATTTTCCCAGACTGCTTGATTATCTATCTGTCCAACAGCCCTACCAGTTAGTACTCCACATAGTATGGTACTTAGAAAAAAAATCAAAATTGAGAAGGAGAAACATTTTTATCATGAAAAAGGCACTTTGGAAAACTTGGGAAAATCTCTCTCATGGTAGAAAATGTTAGTCCATTAATGACAACTACCACTCCCGTAAAAAATAAAAGCAAGTATAATGATTATAGAAAATATTTGTTGAGAGCTTCATATGTATAGGAGATGGTTTTAACCTGTAATCATGTGTCTCATCTTCATAACCCTCTGAGGTAGATACCGTTGGTATTTTTATTTTGCAGGTGAGGTAGCTGAGGTAACTGAAATGCAGGAAAGCTGAGTGAATTTGCACAAGGCCACCCAGCTGGAAGCCACATTGCTAGTATTCCATCCCAGGCATCTGTCTCCATTTTATTCTTATGCTATTTAAGAGAAAACCCCAGAGACCAGACTGTTCTCCCACCCATTCTCACAACCCCGCCGGTGGTCTTTGTCTGGTTCTGTGCCTGCCAGGTACTCTCCTGCCCTTCTCCTTGCACATGCGCTAAGTACTAGCAGCCCGCATGGCCCACTTAAGACCGTAATTCACACCCTCCCGCACAGGCACCTCCTTACCCCAGCCTTGCAGCTGGGCTCCTCTTCTCTGCCAGCTCTCCCTCAAACCGCGCTCCCTCCTCTAGCACGGATTCAATGAGGGCTTTGTGCTCTTCACTCTCTGAAAAAAACAGACACACCTGCCTCAGTGGAAAGCTGGACACGCTGCTCTGGTCACTGCCTTCACACAAGGAGGCAGGGTCCACCCCAAGGACAAATGTAACCCCATTACCAGGCTCTCTGCTGGGATTTCCACATTTCATTCCTCAATCTCCCAGGCTACATGGCATTTGATTGCTCCCCATCTTAGATATGGGGAAAGAGAAGCTCATGGGCAGGTAACTTGCTCAACTGGATTCAACTGGAATGAGACAATCCCTGAGGAATTCACATGCCCTGAGGTCTGACTCCAAATCTTGGGCCATTTTACCAAGCTTGGTAGCCTCTGAAATAAACCATTAACCTGGGGCATGAAGTAGTGATTTCCTGTGTTTAGGATGTCTCCGAAGATTGTCGGACTGATGGTTCTCCCACGTTGAGAGTTTCAATAATTCCCTCAATAGTTCAAAAATTTAAAAGTTTATCTGGATACAAGGGTGTAAAATGTATATGGAGGGGAAAAAATCTGAAAGACGTATGTTCAAATGCAAACAGGTGTTGTGTTAGGTTAGAGGGAGAGAATACCCAGTGCTTGCCATTGCACTGTCCTAGGTTTTTGAGAATTATCATGTAATCATCACAACTAACTGCAAAGGCAAATATTCTTACTACCATCACAGGTGAGAAAACTGAGGCACAAAAAGGATAACTTGGATTTGGACCCAGAAGTCTGGCCCCAGGGTACATGCTCATAATCACTGTACTGTATTATCTTTACACTAAGATCTAGGGCAAGATCTCTTTACTAGCTCCAAAATATTTGTCCTACAATTGTGATTTTATAATAAGTGATGTAGAAAAAAAGCCCTTTATTCTTCCACACCCCAAAGCTCATCTTTTTCTTCTTTAATAAGTAGGAATTTTTTAAATTTTTTTCTCCATGTAAGTTGGATAAGCAAATTTCATCCTCTACTGATTTAATGAAAAATTGTAGGAATTTGAAAGCAAACTCAACTTCAATGTCAGCAAGCATCCTCCTCTACTGTTCCTGTCTCTCATGTGTCCTCACTTCCATCATGTTTCCTTCAGTCACTACAGCTTCCCACTGCTACCCCCCCAACCCCATGACAAACACGTGTGAGACTGTCCAAGGATTTCCAAATGTGAAAGCTGAGCATGGAGAGGGAAGGGCCAGCTCCTACACAGACCTGGTCTGCTGGACTGGAGGCCTCACCCACTTAGCCTCATTCTCATTTTGGCCCTGCATCTCAAAGCCCAGATCCTGGACCAGCTTGTTGTCTTCAAAGTTCATATTCAAGGGAGAGATCAAAAAGGTGTTATAGAGTCTCTGATTTTCCTGGAAATACGTTCAATCTCACAGAATGTAAGGGGCGGCTTCCTGGAACTTACGTGGGAAAAGAATCTGGCTCCAGGCATCAGGACTTCCCTCGGTGTTTGCTATTGATGTTCTCATCTCCAGGTATCTGGTTGAGTGGGAAACAGCTTTAAGCTCCCATAAGACAGGGAGGGTATGCTATTACACTATTACGCTAGTATGGCTAGCACAGTGCTTTGCAAACGGGTACTTAGAAAAAGTTGGAACTGAATCCTGAGATATTTAAGCCAACAGTGTTACTATATGTTTATAGAGTCTGATACATGTTCCTGAGAGAGAAAAGACAGTTTAATGCCTGAACCCACAGTTTAGCCTCTATGCCTTCCTACCCTCTCACTATAAACTTCATTCCTTTGTGCCTCAGTGTTTCCATCTTCTGCAAATTGAGAGTAACATATCCACTTCTACTTTTCCAGGAGTATAGTCAGGATGAGATTTATTTTGATGGAGAGAGAAGAATAAAGTTTGAGGAGTGTTTAGTTTCTCAGAGGGAAGATGGGCAGTCACTCTGGTGACTGTGACCACACTGGGCTTACTGTATTTCTGCAGCTGATTGGCCAGGGAGTAAGCAGTAGCCTTGGATGTGAGGAATTTCTCTGTGAGGTCTCGGAAGCTCTGTTTGGTTTTTGCCAGCTGGGAGCGCAAGTACTGGTTGGTTTCCAGGATGCTCATTTCTGTCCTCGGATCAGAGAAAGTGGTGAGAGATTCTGCCATGCTGCAGCTGTGGCAGAAGTAGAGCCAGAACCTAGGAAGCAGAAGCCCAAACAAATAATCATAAACAAGTGAATAGGTTATGGTGACAGTTGCACTGCTGGTAAATTACTACACGCGGACCTGGGTGGCTCAGTTGGTTAAACATCCAACTCTTAGTTTTAGCTCCGGTCATGATCTCACAGTTTGTTGAGTTCAAGCCCTGCAGTGCAGAGCCTGCTTGAGATTCTCTCTCTCCTTCTCTCTCTGCCCCTTCTTCTCAAAATAAATAAACTTTAAAAATTTTCTTAGAAATCATTGTACTGTACAACTCTAATAGGTGAGTTTTATAGTATGTAAATTATACCTCAAAGTTTCATTAAGGGGAAAAAATGGACTTAAACACGCTAAAGTATGCAGATGTAATTCATACTTACTTTGGGGCTAAACTCTGTCAGCATTCCACAACTCTAAGAATTCTCAACCACAAAAATAAGGCATAAGATAGCAGAGCTCAGAGCCAAGGCTACCATGCGCAGCTTAGGCTCTGATAAGAGTGCCAGAGGAAGCATCCAGCCTGCCGGGCAACTGTCTGGAGTCACAATAACAGAACTGGAAAGCAGGGAGTGTCATGGAATCTTAGGAGCCCCAGTCTTCCAATTGCTGAGGCCATACTGATATATAAGATCACCTGGTCTGTTCTGAAGGTCACCACCAGTGGGGACCACCCCATCCCCCAGCAGCCATTTTCAGTATTTGTGTGGCCATGTACTGATACCACGGACTTAGCTCTTTCTAAAATTTAAGGATATTTTTCATTGTTTATTCTTGTAAGTGCACAGAAAATATGAAGGAATCAATATTTTCCCAAAATCTTTCATTATCTTAAGGACTGTCCTGAAGTCATTTCACTTTTCCTTCATGAAAAATTTAAAACTTTTAGATAGTCTTGGTGTTCTTTTTGCTTCTCTAGTTTTATTCCACACCGGTTTAATATTATAGGAAAAATTTCTGAGTATAACTCAATGTGTGAATAATTAATTTATAAGGATTTCTATCCTGTATCTCAATTTTCTTCTTGCCACAGGCTTATGTTTGCTTCTTTTCCCTCACTGAGGAAGCTTATTGGCTTTGCATTAAACTTGAAGTCAAGTTTGACATCCTTCTTCCTAGCTCCACCCTCTTCCTGTATGTATGGATTGCTTTGTGTCATAATCTTAATATACCTATTTTGTTGGGTTTTTAAAAATTATTTATTTATTTTTGAAAGAGAGAGAAATAGGGAGCAAGCAGGGGAGGGGCAGAAAAACAGGGAGACAGAATCCCAAGCAGGCTCCGTGCTGTCAGCACAGAGCCCCTTGAGGGGCTTGAACTCACAAACCATAAGATCATGACCTGAGCCGAAACCAAGAGTCAGACAACTGAGCCACCCAGGAACCACTCTATATACATATTTTGGGATTGTCACTTATGAATTTCATTCTAGCTCCACAGGGTATCTTTCCCACTTGTCAAAGTCACTGAAAGAGTTTTTGTATATGTCTTTGAATGCATGTTGTGGCCACCTTGGGCTGACTTATAAACTGATGTTATTCTTCATGTCCAGAGCCGTTTTTGTAGAACACTGACTGATAGTTTGTGTTGACCCATATCTGTTGACTTGCGGTTGTATTCTCAGAGCATGGTAAAAATCAAGGTGATAGGTCAATGGTGGTTACTGGTGGTCCACATCATTCCTGTACAATGAGATTTAGTGACACAGAGGCTAAGGTTTTATTTTTATTTATTTCTTTATTTATTTATTAACATTTATTTATTTTTGAGACAGAGAGAGAGCATGAACGGGGAAGGGTCAGAGAGAGAGGGAGACACAAAATCCAAAACAGACTCTAGGCTCTGAGCTGTCAGCACAGAGCCCGACACGGGGCTCGAACTCACAGACTGAGAGATCATGACCTGAGCCAAAGTCCTATGCTCAACCTACTGAGCCACCCAGGCGCCCTGAGGCTAAGGTTTTAAAGAGCCACACAGGTAAGAGAGAAAGTGATCCTTTGACACCTCCTTATTTCCTACAGATCATTTTCTTCCTGGTTTTGTGAGCCTGACACTAGAGAAACTTCTCTGGAGTATCTGTCTCTTCCCTTTAGCTACTTTGCTTTTCCAGGCTAGTGGCCCACACATGCGTGACCATGGCCACCTCCATCTGTGTCACTGAACACTCATGACCAAGTGAAAGAAGACCAGACAGACTACCCATCCCACTTGCCCACTTGCAACTAGGCTATGTGATAGTATTGGTTTGTGAGATGTCTCAAATTAAGTGACTTCAGTCCTTTTAAATGTATTGAGGCTTCTCTTATGACTTAGTGCATGTCGATCCTGGAGACTGTTCAAAGTGCAGTTGAGAGAAATTGTATTATTCTGTGCTTATTGGGTAGAGTATTGTATAGATGGCGGTTAGGTCATGTTATTTAAATCTTCTATTTCCTTGTTGGTCTTCTGCCTGGATCTTCTACCCATTATTGAAAGTGTGGTATTGAGGTCTTCAACTATTACTGTTCAATTGCCTATTTCTCCCTTGATTCTGTCAGTTTTTGCTTCCTGTACTTTGGGACTCTGTTAGATGCAAATGTTTTTATTAGTAGTATAACTTCCTGATGGATTAGGCTCTATATCATTATAAAACGTCACTCTTTATCTCTCCTAGCATTTTTTGTTTTAAAGTCTCCTGTCTTTTTTGTCTGTTACTAGTTTAGTCATTCCAACTTTCTTATGATTGCTATTTGTATAATTATGCTATATGACAAAAGAGATTTTGCAGATGTAATTAAGTTGTCCTTAATTGGGGGTTCTTATCCAGGTGGACTGACATAATTACATGAACTCTTTAAATCTGTGTCTAGAGGTCAGAGAGATTCAAAGCTTGTCAGGGATTCAACGAGGGAGAAACTCTTCATTGCTGCCTTTGAAGATGGAAGGGGCCACAGGCACAGAAACCAAATCCTCAGTCCTACAGCTTCATAATTAATGCTACCTACAAACATAAGCTGATGATTTAAAAAAA